AGATTTCTTGCTTCTGCCACAAATTCCCCCAGCTGTGAGCCTTCCAACCTTCTAAGTATTCCTTTATATGTGGTTCAGAGTTCTGGGACCAGCCCCTGAGTCTGCTTGGTCCGGTGTACTGTGTTGTTGCTTCCACTCGATCCGCCATCTTGTTTGTTCTATCCCCTGCTTCTTTGAAGCTTACTTTAAAGTGTTAAAAATGTTAAAACTTCAGTGGAGCAATTTATGAATATTGAGTCGTCATTATCTAGTTCATGATTCTTTTATTATATCATCTGACCGTCAAGTGGAAATGTCAGTGAAAGCGTACGCAGCAGCTGCATGAGGTCAGTGTCCAGTGGTTCCTGTTTCAGGGCTGTAAGGACTAGAATGAAACTGTTCAGCTGAAAATGCTGTATTTCACAGATCAGAGGATGTGGTACTACTATAGCTTTATCCATTTACCTCAGGTAATAAATTCCAAGTCAAGTTGTGAAGTTCAGAACACCTATTTATTGTGAAGTTGTGAAAGATGCCGTTTGTAGACTTTGGTTGGGTTTAAAATGAGGTTTATTTTAGTATACAAATTTAATGACATTACATTCACTATGTTATATAACCATCACTACTATCTGTTTCCAAAAGTTTCAAGTCACCCAACATAGGCTTTAAAGCAATGACTTACCTGTCCCCAGGCCCTGATAACCAGAAACAAATTTTGGTTTCTACGCATTTGCCTATTCTGGATATTTCATTTAAGAGGAATCTTGCAATATTTGCCCTTTTGTGTCTGGCCTCTTTCACTCAATGTGACGTTTTCAAGTTTCATCCATCTCAGTAACATATATTAGAACTTCATTTCCCTTTATGGTTGCATAGTATTCCATTTTATGGAAATGCCATATCTATTCCCAATTCATCTTATGGACACTTGACTTGTTCCCACCTTTTAGTTTCTGTGAATAATGTTGCAGTAAACATTGGTATACACGTCTCTGAGTCCTTGTTTTCAAGCATTTGGGGAGTGTAGTGACTCCATAGGATTAACACTGCACTGTGAACCACAAATTCAACGATTCTAGCCCATCAGCCAGCCCACAGGAGAAAAATGAGAGATTTTCTGCTCCTGAAAAGATTCAAACTGTGGGAAACTCTTTATAGGCTTGTTGTTGTTAAGTACTGTAGAGTCGGTTCAGACTCCTAGTGACCCTAGTACAGGGTTTCCGAGGTTGTAAATCTTTACTTTGGACATATTGTCCGGAGGAAACAATCGTTGGAGAAAGATGTCATGCTGGGTAAGGTGGAGGGTCAGAGAAAAAGAGGAAGACCCCTAACGAGATGGATTGGCCAGGTGGCATCATTGATGGCGTCAAGTGTGGCAGCGGTAGTGAGATTGGCCCAGGATCGGACAGTGTTTCATTCTGCTGTGCATGGGGTCGCTATGAGTCGGTTCTGACTCGATGGCACCTGACAACAACAACAAAATCTTTACGCGAGCAGAAAGCCTCATCTTTCTCCTGTGAAACAGCTGGTAGTTTCAAACTGCCAGTCTTGAGGTTAGCAGCCCAATTCATAACCCCTACGCTACCAGAGGGGTTTCTATAGGCTGGTGAAAACCAACTTCATGGCACTGTTAGTAATGAATCACGATGTCGCATAAAAGATACTCAGTGAGACTAAATTACCTTGGCAAAGCAAAATTTACTCCTGCTAGAGGGTGCGTGTGCATAGCCGTACATACAGGAACAGGCCAGGGAGCACACTTAGTGGGCAGTCCACTCAGGATTTTAATCCCTGGTGCGAGTTTCAAGACTGTCTCACTCCGTTGGCTAGGGTTTTAACCACACAGTCTTTTCCCTTACCTGGTTGGCTAGTTCGAAATTTTAAGGTGCGTATTTCTACTTAAGGAAAAGAAAAAGAGAGACATCATAAATTCTTTACTCACTTCAGGAAGTAACCATAGAAAAAGAGAGAGATCATAAAGTCTTTAGTTCGGGAAATAAAGAGAAAAAAAAAAAAAAGGTTATGCGAATACAATAAACAGGATTATTTTATATATATATGTATGTATTTCCCCTCCTCCCCCCGCACCGCCCCAACAGCGCTTTACACCACCAGCACCAACTCAGGATTAGAATTGCTGGGTCATGTGGTAATCTTTGTTTAACTTTCTGTTGTTGTTGTTGTTGTTGTTGTTGTTGTTGCAGTTAAATGCCATGGAATTGGTTCCAATCCAGAGTGACCCTGTATATAGAGTTTCCAAGGAGTGCCTGGTGACCTTGAACCATTAACTTTTTGGTTGAAATGACTTTGCAGTCCAGCACATTAACCCACAGCCACCAATTTAAACTGTTGTCCCCCGTAGTATTTCAAAAGTGTGCATGACAAAAACATTAACTAAATTATATATTTAAATATACTTATAATCCTTTCATTTAACTAGGAAAGCTTCCCTCCCTTTTGTTTAATGTACCTAGCTGGCTTCCTACTGTTTTTATGGTAACCACAATTGTTAACTGTCTTGGAGTCCTTCCTACTCGTAGTAATCATGTATAGACTTTCCCAGGTGGGTTTGAATTGCTGACCTGTGGTTAGCAATCCTGTGCATATCCTGCAGTACCACATCAGTACTCTACCCACAAGTGACCATCTGTAATAGTCCAAATATAAATATTACTCTCATTTTTCAAGGAAAACAACAAGGGGGTTTGTACCTACTCAAATTGATATATTTTCATGTAATAAAGGAATATTGAAAATATTCTTTAAAAAGTAAAAGCTTTGAGCTATTTAAATGTATTATTACCCAATTGTGTGGATTTCTTAGTTTAGAAAAATCTGATATTATTTTCTTAATAATGACTTGATATTTAAATTTTTTCCTTCAGGTAAAAGTGCAGTTTTAAAGTGTCTCCTGGATATTCATAAAATTTTTCAGGAAAACGACCCAGCTTACATTCTAAATGATCTCTACATCTCAGACTACTGTGTGTGGATTCAGAAAGCCAAGTAAGTTTTGAGTTGCTTATGAGCTTTTAGATGTCACATTTCTGGGTAGACGAACACCTGTCTGCACTGGAGGAAGACAGTGAAGTAACCTGGTGAATAGATTTTACTGAGCAAGAAACTCCCATAGCTGGCTATCAGACACTAAGAAGTAGCTCGATCAACATGAGTAGTGTGGTATAAATGCTTTGGGAGGGAGTTGCAGATGAAGAACAATGAATTTTTAAAAGAAAAAAAAATTGGTATAGCTTGACAAACTGGTATTAAAACAATTATGAGTGATTTTTGCTAGTGCTTTAACAATGTAGACTCTCAAGACTAGGTACCTGTACTTATGTCCGTAGTATATGAATAGTGTAGGTTGTGAGTGTTTGTATGTGTGTGAATATTATAGCACACAAACCCAATCAAGATGATAACTGTGTATCTGTTGACTAGTCATTGACTTAGAGTCCATTATTCAAAGTATAGAAAGCTGAATCTTCAGCACATGGAAAGAGTCATTCTTGGTAACATGGACTCGGTAACATACACTCACACATGGACTCCTTGCATTTGGTAAGTTCAGATTTGAAAATCATTTATTGTTTTATTCAAGGAAACAGATGAACTATTAGATTTTTTTTTAAGCAATGAATTTTTATTTTGTGAAGGAGTTCTGTTGATCTGACTCTGTTAGACATGGCCAAATTATCCTTTTCAGTAGCAAGAGATTTATTAATTGATAACATAACATATAATCACAACTCTGTAGTGGAATGAGTCTTAGGTGCTGGAATAGAAAATCATGGCCCAGTTTGAATCATGATTTTAAATGAAAAGTAATCATGATATTCTTATTGATTCTATGATCGGTAAATTGATGGTTTGGTGTGACTTTTAATACCTGTTTTGAGTGAACCATGTTAAGAGACTTTATTTTTGTTTTCTGTTCATGGAGAAGCAATTATATTGTAGAGCAATAAAAGAAGACAACTTTAAGGACATGCCTATTGTATGGCCTACTCTCAGGGACTGTGAAGATAATGCGTAATAACAGGCAGAAGGTGGTGTCAACATTAGTGTTGGGAATCTAGACTCAGCCAGATGGAAAATTGCAGCTTTGACCCCTGACGTCATAATGCCATGTCCTCACTTCATTTGATCCTCCTGCTAATTGAGTTTGCCAAATACCTTGTAGCCACTTACTTTTGTTATTTTCATCTTCTTAATAAAATTAAAATAGTTTATTTTTGTGGGTTTCAATTTTTTCCTTTTTAAGGGTAAGGATTTTAATCAGCAGGTAGGAAGTATGGAGGTGTTTCTGAGGATCCCATTTCTATGAGTGCCTTGATTCTCTGGTTGTGACATTCCTTATTAATGAGAGAGGAGATCCTGTTTCATTAAAGGAGAAGACTGTGTGCCCTCAAGTTAGTGTGGCAATTATCAGAACTTCTTTCTCTTTCAAATACATTTTCCCTTTGGTTTTCAGTTGTGGGAAATAATATTCTAAGGTGTTTAATCGTTGTTGTGATAATAGTAATTTTTTTTAAAAAAAAAAGGATCGTTTATTGAGCCATGAGGTAGGTAGAATATAGAAACCTGAAGGAACTGTTTGCATTACTTTGGAAAAGTTATTTTCGACTTTACCAGTTGAGTATAATGTTCCTCTTCCAAAATAGCTTGGTATTTTGAGCAACTACATCTATAAGGTATAGGTCAGGTCCATCCAATTGTAGCTATTTACACTTGCTTCCTGTATAATTCCTTTATTGTCCTCTAGTCGAGTTCTGATCATCAAGCCATCCCAGGTAGGTCAAATGGGTACTATCTGCAAGTTTGGGCATTCTTGTGTGTCTCCCCCCTTCATATCAGCTGGACAATTCACTCTTGGGTCTAGCCCTCCATGGCTAGGTCAGTCAGTGTCCATGGGCTCAGGAGGCCCAAGTCTCACCAAACTTCGGATCAGCTAGCCCTTCCTCTTCTCTCTCCCTTCTCAACATCGACAGGAATCTATCCCATGCATTTTTAAACCAATGGAAATCATACTTCTTGCTGTTGAGTCAGTTTTGACTCCTGGTAACCTTAAGTTGAACAGAACAAAATGTCGCCTAGTCCTACACTGTCATCATGATCCGTGGTGTGTTGGAGTCCACTTTTGCTACTTAGTCTATTGATGGATCAAGTCCAGCTTACTGAGGGTTTCTCTCGTTTTTATTGACCCTCTACCTTACCAGGCATGGCGTGATTTTCTTGTAATTGGCCCTTCCTGATGACTTATCAAAAGTGAATGAGTCAGCGTGTAACCATCTTTGAAAGAAGATGTTGGTTGTATTTCTCCTAAAATGAACATATTTGGTTTTGAATTTGTTTTGTTCTTTTTTTTTTCTTTTGCAGTTCATGGTATGGTCAATATACTCATAAAAGTACCCTATAATTAATTTCCCTTTATAGCATTATATCCATGTTGTTGTTAAAGTGCTATCAAGTCTGTTCTGACTCATAGAGACCGTGTATTGGGTTTTCGAGGATATAAATCTTTACAGGAGCAGAAAGCCGCATCTTTCTCCCTAGAAGTGGCTGGTAGACTCAAACTGCCGACCCTGTGGTTTGCAGTCCAGTGCTTATCCTACAGAGCCACCATGTTCCCCATAATACCCATAGCGTAGCATTTTAAAATAACTGATTTCTTCCTCATTATGAAAGACATTTGATACTATTATAGTTTAACTTTAAACTATTTTTGTGTTCTTTTGTGTACAAGTTGGATATTTTGCTAAAAATTTAAAAAATATTTTGAAAATGAAATGAAAATCTAAATCCATGGCAGTTTTAGATAAAAACCTGACCTTGCTAATGTGCTACATCACAATTTTCCCTTCCATCATAGTTTTGAGGTAGTTGGTTGTAAGGAAAGACTCCTGATGTGGCGCTGTAGGATCAGCACTGGACTGGGAACCCCAAGGTTGGCAGTTCCAATCCTCCAGCTTCTCCTGGGAAAACCCTACACAGGGTTGCTATGAGTTGGACTCGATGACATGTAACAGTAACAACAACAGTTGTGAAGAAAAGAAGGAAAAAAAAAAATCTTTTGAAATGCTAAATCTTTCATCTGTTGCCTGGGTGAAGGTACTTTGGTAAAGGACCAGTAGTGTTCTTGAGAATGGAACAGATACCTGCATCCATTCCTTTTGGGTCTCTTTTGTTCCTGGTTTATCTGTCAAAGGGATGAGAGGTGGCTTGTATGCAGAGGTACAGCATCAGCAGTGACTAGATAAAATGGAATAAGTTTTGATTTCAGCCCATAATGACTGAGTCATAGCATGTGCCCTGAAGTAGGTGAACAGGAGAAGCACAGCTCCCTAGTTAGAGCTGACTCTATGGGGTGCAGGTGTAAGGGAAATATATGCCATAGCCCAATGGTGGCTGCAGTGGAGAAGTGCAGGGTGCTCTGGACATGTCTAAGAGGACGCAGCACCTTATCTAGGGGACAGGAAGGAGAGTTTATGCTGAACGATCAGTAAGAAGTAGTCAGGTGGAAGTGGGGTGGCGGGTGAAGACTACTTCAGACAGATGGACAAGGAAAAATGGTCCCTTTGAAGAGTTCAAAGGTCAGTATGGATGGATCAGAATACAGGAACAGGGAAGGAAGAAATGAGGTCAAGGAGGTTTATGGGTGCTGGGCACATGGATTGTTGGCCACATAGATGCCTGTGTCTTGGGAGAGTGTGGCGTAACTGCAGATTTCAAGCTTATGTGATGAGATTTCCATTCTGGGAAGATCTACTTGGTCACAATGTGGGGAATGAATTGGTGTGGGGGTAGATAGCAGAAGTAATAGTCTGTTTAGGATGCACCCTGGTGACACTGTGATTAAGCACTCTGCTGCTCACCACAAGGTCAGCAGTTTGAACCCACCCTGCAGGAGAAAGACATGGCCGTTTGTTTCCATGAAGATTTGCAGCCATGGGAACTCAACAGGTCAGTTCTGCTCTAGGGTCACTAGGAGTTGTGCTGTGGGGTCACTAGGAGTTGGAATGGATTACAGTGGATTTGTTTTTTTGTTTGGTGATCCAGGCAAAAGTTGATTGGATTGTAGCCTGAACCAGGATGTGGAGGGTAGGGAAGGAGGCTAGTAGACACACTTGAGCAGTATCAGCAGCAATTAGATCAGGACTTTGTGATTAGTTGGACATGGTGTGAGAGTGAGAAGGGGAGGAATCAAAGGTGAGCTCCAGGTTTTGGTTTGACCTTTATCTAGGCTTTGTAGGTGCATTTGCTGAGGTGCAGAAAAATGAAGAGTTTGTAGGTTGCGAGAGAAATGAAAGGAACAGGTGAGTTCAGTTTTAGTAATGTGTATTTGAAGCTTCTAACCCAGTTTCTGTGAGTTGGAACCAACTTGATAACACTTATCAACAACACCACCAACAAAAAGGAACATCCTGGTGTGGCACTGTAGGACTAACTCTGGACTGATACCTGCAAGGTCTGCAGTTCAAACTCACCAGAAGTGCCTAGGAAACCCTAGACAGGGTCACTGAGTTGGAACTGACTGGACAGCAATAAGGAAAAACAACAAAGAATATCCATGAAGGAGAGGTGACCAGAAACATTTGGGTCAAGGCTGAGAAAGAGATACAGAAAAGTGTTTGAACAAAGAAGGTATATGAATTAATAGCAAAGCCTATAAAATGCTGTTTGACTGCATAGTGCTATTTTATTACACATGCGAATATAATCAGAAGCGATGTATTCCATGTTGGGAAAGCAACATCATGCAGAGTAGTAGACAAGTAAAAAGTATGTGCAGCGTGGTCACCAGATTTCCTGGTTGTAACCATGATGTGTTGGAAGGGCAAGAATCAATGTGAGGCTTTTTAATATTTGGATCTCAGCTAGCTTTCTTTATGTTGTTGTGAGTTGCTGTTGAGTTGAATCCAATTGATGGCAGCCTTATGCATGACAGAACAAAATGTTGCCTTTATTCCAAGACTGAAACTCAAAGGGAGCACATGAGCAGGCAT